TAATATATAAACAAAACTCACAAAAAATTAATTGAATTTATAAAAAAAAAAAATATATTTCAAACAACCCATAATTCCTTATGAAACAGTATCGCGGAGATCAGCACCCATTAAGAAGAACAATAAAATACGCTCAAAACAGCCGCGTCTTTCCAAGAAAGTGAAATTTATCAGTAAGTATTCCAAAACTAGTGTAAATTATTTTTTCAATATATCTATGCATATTTAATTTATATTATTTATGACAAAAAAGTACGCGGAAATTGTAAATAAAACGCAAAATATTTAATTTTTATCAATATTTATTTTGTTACTTTTGAAGTAATTTCCATTAGATAAGTTCAATGATTTTTCCAGTACTCGCAACACTTTTCATAAACATTTTGTGGGATGGCCTTCAGCTCCTTCACAGAATTTTTTTTTTTACATATCTCTTCGGTTGATTGAAAACAGATTCCACGGAACGGCCATTTCAGTTTGGAGAACAAGAAAAAATCACACGGAGCAAAATCTTTTGAATGCAGTGGTTGATCGATGGTGTTCATTGTGTTTTTGGATTTATTCGGAAGCAATGGTGGCTCCATGCGATAATGCATTAACATCGTGAATGGTTCTTCCAAAATTCCGGTTATTTTCAACAATAGACCGACCGTTCCCCCTGAAATAAATTCATGATTCATGAATATTGAAAAAAAAAAACAATGGGCATCACCTTAATTTTTTAGCGTGGTTTCTCCACTGACTGTTGACTTGTTTGCATTTAAAACTTATAACCGGATGTCAAGTGGGTAGTTATAACGCTCTCCATCAATGTGTAATCGGAATTCTCATGATCTAGCATTTCCAAAAAGACCTGTTTACGATAATTGTTTTGAAAAAATTCAGCTTTATCGGGACGAGTCGTTCAAGAACTCGTTTGCTACCCAAAATATACACAAAAATCATTAGAAGGGCTCGCTAGCGATGTCCAGCTCTCTTGCCATCTCTCTAAAACTTGCGTGATGATTTTCAAGCACCATATCCTTTACATGACTTTGAAGAGAGCAAAATCGTCCAGAATGCAACGGCAACTGCAGGACTTGTCCGGAAAGTAATAGGACTGAGTCGATTTAAAAAAATTTATGGAACCAATCGTTACAATTCTTTAAACACTTTCAAAATAGGTTTCTTCTGCGTGGATGCAGAGCATTTTCCAAGCATTGAAGACGCCACGGAAGGTATTCTTCGGAATAGCCTTGAGAGCCGAGGTGCATGCTGCTGGGATCTCCTTTCATTGGCCTTTACAGGCAAGGAAGCAAAAAAAAGTCCGGGCTGTAGGGTGGCTGCGGAAGCGTTGGGATGCTGGCCTTGTTTCGGTAGCAGTTCACAAGAAAGGCGGTCCCGGGACGTTGTCGTGTTGCAACTTCCAAACGGCTGCAATGTCTTGACGCACCCGCTTGACCTGATTGACTTTTCTCTTGAGGACTTCCACGTAAAACTTAGCGTTGACGGTTTGTCCAGGAGGACAAAATTCATGGTGGACGATGCCTTTGACGTCAAAAACAAGACAATGATCATCGTTTTCACTTTGAATTTGCTCATTCTTTCGGTCGTCATCAGCAGCTTCTTCCCGGCCCTCCAGAAAGACCCGGTGCGACCGAAAAACACCACTTCTTACTAAAGCAACATCTGGGTAAGCCTGTTTGATCATTTCAACATTCAGAATTGAATCGCGTACCTCTGCTATAACGAACGTTATATTTTCGGCTTGCACCACTCACAGAAACACGTCGCGCGAAAATGTTTATCCTGTCTCTCCAGGTGCGCGGAGACAAATGACCAGCCGCTCGTTCATCAGCCAGGAACGCTCTCTGCCGAATCAAGTCGGACAAAACTACCCCTACCATTTTTTGATATATCAATTAGCCTGAGCATTTAATTACAATTTCCGAGTGCTATTTTTGTCACAATGTATGCCACAAAAAGTGATACTATGTGAATTTTTTTTTTTTTTCAAAAATAACCTCAAAATCGCATTTTGAAAGATACTACCCATAATTACCCACAATTAATGTACACTGTACATAGTTATTTTTAGAATTAAATAGCGCTTTCCTTCCAAATCAATTTTCATTAATTGAACTTCTGTGCATTCTGACAAATTTGGTATGAAATATTAATCACGTTCTAACCTCAAATATTTAGCAAACACTCTCAAATTGTTTTTGTAGTAAATGTCTGCCGTGCGTGACATTATGTAATAATTCAGCGCAAATATTTGTCATCACAAAATAATATGCATTATTTTTTAGCGCTACTAATCATTTCATTTTGTTTAGATTACAACAAAAATAGAATGAAATATATTCACTAATTTGTTTTTCCTTGATGTCAACTGTTTTAATATTCCTGATAGATTAGAACCAATCGCTTAGTAGAAAGCTGCACCTAAGTATTTTAGCGACCTACCACCCGGCTGGTGGCATTTGCGTCATATTGCAGACAACTTAATTGATACAGGAATAGAAGGAAGCAAAAAATACCCTTCCGAAACTACATTTCACGAGTTAAAAGGTTTCTAGACAAAAACTTGATATTTATTGTACACTTTGTATGGCAGCTATTTTTTATAGTGTTCCGTTTAGAACCATTTCTTTGCAGTTTGTACCGTTACCTTAGAAAATAATCTGTGCAAAATTATATGACGATATCTCGTCAAACAAAGAAGCTTCTCATATAAGGATTTGATTTTGATCGGTCAATTTGCATGGCAGCTATATGCTATAGCGGTCCGATTTAAACAATTTGCTTTGGTAGTGTACCGTTTCCGTAGAAAGTAATATGTGCCAAATTTCATGACGATATCTCGGCAAATAAAAAAGTTCGCCCTATAAGGGTTTGATCATTTTGTATGGCAGCTATATGCTATAGTGGTCCGATATCGGCGATTCCGACAAATTAGCAGCTTTTTAGAGAGAAACGGACGTGTGCAAAATTTCAGCATGATATCTCAAATATTAAGTTCGGGGTATAAAAGTGATGATGTGGACAACACCGTCACGTACTCACATTTGTAGGGTGCACTTTTCGGAATAAACTTAATAATGCATTCATATACATATGCGTGCTTTATTTGTTGTTGTAGTGGTGTCGATTAATGTGAGGTGGCAATCGGCGAACGTAGCGGCAAATGGCTATTGTCGGACGATTACCGCACGTACAATGAATTGCGTTGTTGTAGTGTCTGGTGCAGGGTTGGGGTTTATATTTACTGTTATGCTGATTATGTCTGCCGACCAGTCAGACGAACGTCAAAACTTAACGGACTTCAAGCGTGTGTTGGCTTGTGGCGACATCTCTGAAGTCGCCTTCTTGCTGCCTTCACCGGGGTTTCTTCTACCTGTTTTTTGCTGTTAACCTTTCGTCTCCGACGGTATGTCATAAAATGGCGTCCTGTTTCATGTCTATGTTAGTACCTGGTGTAGCATTTACCTCAGAACAACAACAACATTAACGTGGTAACATTATTACACTACAAAGAAAGGTAAAAAAAAAACAACAACAGCAATGCCTGCCAACGGAGACAGCAAGAAGGAAGTGTGCTCGAAAAGAAAGCTAAAAATAAAAGGACAAACACACCGAGGTAAAGTTGGCTTATTATTATGCCCCAGGGTGTTGTTTGCGCTGTTGTGGTTGCCAGCGTGTTTTGTGTGCGCCAGGCGGGGCTGCGGAGGTGGCAACAGCAGCGAGCCAATTGTGTTATTAAAAAGCAAACTGTAGCCGGCAAAGTCAGAATTGTAACATTGTATGGGTAAATGTGCCACTAAGCCGGTGTGTTTGGGTTAAAAAATGAGGGACCACTGTTGTTTGTTGCATGTGGCGGCAAGTAAAACTTTTTAATTCGTTTTTTTCGGCCAGGTAATGGCTTAGTATGTACATGAGTCATCTATTATACTAAATTGTTGTTATTTTGTTTACGGCTACTCGGCTTGCTTTGTAGTGTTCGACGTGTAAGCGCCCATTATGTGTAGTCTCCATCGTATAGGTGGGTTTAACAACTGTTCGAAGCGTCTGGGCGACGCCATGAAAATGTATAGTTTGTCCCATTGCAATGCTACACCATTACAATATATATGTAGCCGTCCACATAACTGCAATAATATATCCTTTTTGCCATTATTTACTCGAGTAAATGTACGAGCCCTTATTGTAATGAGTCTTAAACACGGCTAGGCGCTCTTATTTGAGGACATTACGTGTATTAACGCTTATGAAATAATGATTTTCGTAATTTTCTACCTTTGTTGAAATTTAAGCATTGAATGATGGTGTAAACACACAACCTTCACTTAATTTAGACACTTTGCTGTTACATAAACTTAATTTAATGAATTTGAAATTTTATTTTGAGTTTAGTAGTATTACTGATTCAAATTTTAAAGTGCCTTTTCAAATATGCGAAGCTCAAATTATTATTTTATTGCTTTCTTATTGCTTCTTTTATGATCTTGCCCAACGAGTGCTTCTTTTTTCAGAGGGGTCACCCCAAAAGGGTGTCGTAATGACCGCGTTTAAAATTTTTTATTTTTTTTTCAAAAATTTCATAATTTATTTGTTAATAGTGCATGTTTGTAACATTAAAAATCCTAATAAAATAATTAATTTTTTAGATGAGAAAAAAATTTTGAAAACTAGACGTTTTTATACGAGGAAACCCATGTAACCCCTTAAGAAAAACTTATGCACGATCTGAAGGTATGACATTTTAACAACTTTCTCGCAATTTCTGGATTCCATCCTAAAAGCACTGTGCCAGCTTGGCGGTCAATAAAAAACCAAGTCAATTTTTCATACTCTGTCGTGATGTGAACCCTAAGTTTACCGGAGCAAATGTTGGTCCAGAAGGGCTATAAGGCGGATAGGGTAAAATCTTTGCCTACCCAGAGGATACTTGCTCTAAGACGGGAAGCCATGAGCTGCTTGAACCAATATAAACGAATCGTTCGTGGCCACTCCCAAATGAATGGCGCTCAGGGCCCCATTCTCTCTATCCTATAATACAGCACGTTCTTCTGATCCAACCAAATACAAATCATTAATTTTGAGATATCGGATTTCGTCTTTGGACGTCTCTTGGACGTCTCTTAACTTCAATTCATAGGCCCCCACAAAGTTTCCTTATTTTTTAATGTAT